TGATCGTGGGCTGCTCCCTGCCTGTCACCCTTGGGTGAGCCGCACGCCGGCCCCGGGGGAGGAGGCTGGTCCCTGGCTGCCCCCAGCCCTGTGCTGGGTGCCCGGCTGGAGGCGAAGGCGGTGATCGCCTCCCTCTGCTCGGGGGCTCGGAGCTGGCGAGCGGGTTTAAATGCTCCTCGGGGGGCTCCGGAGTGCCCCGCGCCTGCTCCGAGCGCCCGGGAGGGAGCAACCGGGGCCGCTGAGCGCGGAGTTCCTCCTACCCCGGGGCGGCCAGTGCCCCTCTTTCCTCCCCCTCCCCCCCCATGAATGGGACGCTGTCGTGCCAGAGGCAGCTGGGAAGGGCGACGTATTCAGCCCCCCCGGGGGCAGGAGGAGGGGCACCTCCCCATACCCCGCATCCAGAGAGGGAGCCTCCTCCGTCTCCTCCCTCCGTCTCCTCCCCTGGCCCGGGGATAGCTCCGCTTCCCGTCCCGCCCAGCCTCGCAGCCCTGGTGCTTGCCAAGCGCCAAGGGGACTTGCTCTGCCCGGAGCCAGCCTGGCCAGTGCCTGCCTGCCTTTGCTGCCCCTTCCCCGGGGGCTGGGAGGTCCTGCCCTCTCCTGGGCTCCTTTGGGTCGTGGGAGGACAGACCCCAACTTGCGCTGCCTGGCGCCACTTCCTTGAGGGGAAACTGAGGAATGCCTGGGCAGGCAGAAGAAGAGAGAGGCAGGAAGACTTCCCTCTGGGCCAGGATGTAAAGGGATTCCCCTCCCAAGCAGGGCTGGCTCCACAGCAAATCGGGTAGCTTCTGGGTGGCCTCTTGGTGTAGCCCTGGGTGAGGGGGCAAAGAGAAATGTGTCATCCCCTTCCCTCCCCCCCTTGCTGTGGCAGAGCCTTGGAGTGGCTGATGCCAAGCACCAAGGTTCGGTAGCTCCCAGGCTGGGTCCGGACTCCAGGCTCCTGCCTCACTGACCCAGCTGCTGCACATGGCAGCAGTCCCATCTGTTACACATATTCCAAATGCATTCCTCTGACCATGGTCAGAGCCAATCCTGTGAAAAAAAAAAAGCCTGTAATCTGATTAAGCGCCGTTGCAAGAGGTCATAGCCACGACACGATTTCTTCCCTCTTCCTCCCCCCCCCCCCC